GCACCGAAGATGGTAGAAAACATCATACCATTGATGACGTCATAGGTTGCACTTAGGTTGAGTCGTAACGGTAAACAGTATGGAAGCAAGTGAAAGTGCAAGAATTAACTCAGAGATCTGGGCAAACATTCTTCGCCGGTTGTTGACGTCGGATGGTCCCCCCTGCGCTTTATTATAGGGTATGATACGGGCAAACAGTCTTACAGTCTACAGAACGACAGATACGGCAGCAGATTACTCGTCGAAGATAATTTTTTGTTCTTGCTGTTCAGTTTCGGGTCTCGGGCAAGAATGTAGGATGCTTCCAAGGCTTTTTGAGCAGAAATTTGTTGTTCGTGGCTCAGAATTCTGCACTTAATTTCATAATCGGCACCGCCATGTTCTATCATTCTATGTTTCCCACCGTACATATGGACTTACGAACTTCTGACTTACTACTTACTTTCCCGTATAGCCTGGTTCCTCAATAAAATTATCAATCTACTTTTGCGCAAAATACCTGCTTATTTGAGCAACACTAATCTCTTGAGTTTTTGCGCAAAACGAACTTCACCTAAAATTGCGCAATTGAGTCCTTTGATGTAACGTCATGGCATACTAATGTATGTAATGAAAATGCTTCACAAGCATTAGCTGAGATGCTCGAGACACATAGTAGAACGATTTTGACATATGGCCTCAGCAAGGCGCGTCATGGCGCTTATCAAGGAATGTTTAGCTTGCAGTATTTTCAAACGTTTGGGAAAATATTTTGCACAAGTACGACGGCTGACGATGGGCCAACGCTTAGCATCCGCGCTTGCTATATGCTTTACAGCTGGCAAACCCGGCTCCGCCCGGCCCTTTCAATAATATATTCGTAATCAGTATGCTCACTTACCCCCCCCCCCCCCATGCTCACTTACCCCCCCCCCCTGTGCCAACTCCCAGCCCCGTAGCTCGAACTTTTTGAAACAGTAAAATCGATATTAATCGATGACAAAAAGTAGCCTATGACACCCGCCCGGCCCCAAAGTGTATGTGTACAAAGTTTGGTCCGGATTGGTTCAGAAATGGAATTTTCTATTCGAAACATACGTACAGACAGACAGACAGACAGACATACAAACAGACATTCAGCTTTATATATAAGATGAGCGAAGTAGAAGAACCGATGCTATCCAGAGGTCTATTTATGTATTTCCGCTGCATCGACGATTGCTGCATAGTTACATCAACACAGTCCGATTTGGACGAGTACTTCAAACTACTAAATCAATAGTCGCGATGCATAAGCTTTATACGAGGAAAATCGCACAACGGTTAGCTGCCGTTTTTGAATACACAACTGATGGTGGTTAACGGCACGGTGCGCATAAAATGGTACCCTAAAGAGAGTAGTAAGAATATCGTCTTGCTTGCGAAGTTCGCACATCCAATGGTTGTCGAACGCACCGTTGTCTTGTCCGCAACATGTTAAGATCAGCGACAAGCATTTGTAACGGCAGCGATGAAAGGCAGGAATCACTGAAGTTGGCAGCCGAAATTATGACCTCAAATAAATATGGTATACGACCCAGACCATCAAAAAGGAATACAGTAAAGACAAACAAACAAGCTACTGACAAAACACCCTTGTGCTTGCCTTTTATATCCGAAAAAGTACCGTCTGCACCCCAGAGAGGTTCCCATATGAACCAGCGTGCGTACGTGGTGTGACGCTGCCTTTCGCTCTTTTTGACACGTTTCTCCTGAGATTTCAACGGAAGTGCCCGAGGTTACACGTTCAAAAGTGCGAAAGGCAGCGAGATGACGTGGTACCTATGGGAACCTCTCTGGGGCGCAGACGATAACTATTGCGATTAAACGGTAGATATAGGGTCAACTTGACGATGATGTTGTCTTAGTCAACATACCGCTAGACAACATCAGAAGGCGAATAGTCCGTAACAGCTGTATGATACCGCCTGTATATCACGTGACTGCGTAGTTTGCCCTTACGGAAAACGTGGTGATTGCGCGAAGTCTGGTGTCGTTTATGAAACTGAATGCATGAAGTGCTCTGCCACTTATATCAGTGAGACCGGCCGACCATTGTGTGTACGGATTAACGAACATTTAGCAGCAAAAAGAGGCAAAGCATGATAAGTCCGCTGGGAAAGCATAGAATGATAGAACATGGCGGTGCCGATTACGAAATTAAGTGCAAAATCTGGACTACGAACAACAAATTTCTGCTCGAAAAGCCTCAGAAGCATCCTACATTCTTGTCCGGGACCCGAAACTGAACAGCAAGAACAAAAAATTATCTCTGACGAGTGATCTACTGCCGTATCTGTCGTTCTGTAAACTGCTGTTTGCCCGTATATAAACAACATTGTGTCATATTGCCATGCTCATTTGTCGCATTCAATCACAACAGCTGACACATCGAGCTACAGGTTGCAACACGGTGATACATTTAATGGGTTCACAACTTCTCCTGAACCCTCTATTTCCACCTGAGACGAATCGAATGGCAGGCGGGAGGAGATATTTGGTGGTTCAGAACATATATCACACCAAAACTGACACCTTTTCACCCTTCAAAAACGGCGTCCTGCCGAAATGTCAGGCAATAAAGTTGTTTCACCATTTACAATCTGTGTACGGCATAGCAAAGTAATTGGATTCGTTCATACAAAGCAATAAAAGTGTTTGTGCCACTTCTAAGGTGCCCCCTGAAAAAGAGTTTAGGGGCCTGCAGGATCGCGAGAGTCGGACATGCACAAGGCCATTGCGTCGGGCACGTTTGATGTGTGTCCGACGACTCAGGTAGGTGCCAGATTTATCCTGCTGAACAGGTTCAGTCGGTTCATCACCTTTGCTGTTGGACAGTGCAGTGATTTGACCTATAAACCGAACAAACCGGCTGAAGCGGATAAGCCTGGCACCTGCCTTAGTGACATCGTGCGCGGCGCAATGGCCGTACGCACGTCGCTATCCTGTAGGCCCCTACATTTGAGTTATAAAGAGTTTAAGGAGCGTGATCGGGCGCACGCTCTTTAAACCCTCTTTCCCTTTTACGTCTAAATTGCGACCCCTGCTTTCTCATCCTCACCTTTCATCGTAATGTCGCGCTCCGGAGAGAAATAAACTTGCAGTGAGGAATTTTCGATTTCTCAAAGTCATTCCTAAATTTCGACTGCACGGTTACACGGTACAATAGCATATACGGTAAAATTTGTGTCAGGTATGAGTTTTTTTTCAAAAACCATAACGTCTTCAGGAGAGGAGGACATAGGATCTTACTGTTGTCCAAGAACAGGTTTTAAGATTGAACAAAAGATTGAGCAGTTTGCGGACAAACATTCAAGTAGGTTGTGTGCGTCAGGCATAAGAGTACAAAAGCTCAGCCAGCCTAACCTTTTCAGGGGTAGTGCCTGACCTCATCTATATTCACAAGGAGGCTTTCTACTAGGCTTCAAAGTTTTGTGGCATTCATTTACACAAACCCTTCGGATTATGCATTGGGTGTGTGAGTTTATCTCTCCACTTGTTTTACATTGTGGTAGTCACTGAAGCAAAAGCACTATAAAAACGCGGTGGTTGGAGCTTTAAGGACATTTTCAGATCGCATATTTGGGAAGGATATGAAAATAACTTCCCAGCATAATTTCGCAAAGCTTGTTTCGTTATGTGTACGGAAAAGTTGACTTTTCTTTTGAAACTGGATCATATTTGAAAATGGCGCTTTTCAGATGTTGGGAAGTACATAAAGTGATAGCAGCCCATGGATGTGATTTGACGGGATCACACAGGGCTCGGCACAAGGCGGCTTCCCGAAATTGCAAAAAAAACGAAGTCCTCTTGACTTCGTAATGTTTTACGACATCTGCCTTGAGACATTAGAAGAGAAAATACATGAAAAGGAACGGAACAAAGCAAAACAAAAATAACGCCAAAAAGCATAACAAACACAATGATATTCGTATTCTCCGGATTGGCGTCATGATGTATCCAGCGAGCAGGACTACGCGTTTGAAGCAGGGTTGCCTCCGCTAAAATTTTTAATGGAAGGGGGTTCGAGGCGGTTTAGCAATTTGTAGGGTTTGGGATGTATATGAAGTTTATGTAAGCAAAGTAAAAAGAATGGTAAGTGAAAGAGGGAAAATTTATGACTCTTTTCTTAAGCCACCTCAGATGACCTCCAGGTGGCTTGAAAGCCACCTAACTCCGAAAAAAGTTGAGCACGCATCCAGTACATAATTTTTTCATAATTTTGTATCTTAATCCTAACTCTCCGTCGCCCTTCTACACACCTATTTTGGTGTCATTTCATCTTCACTTCGCTGTAAACAAGCTCTTTGTTTGTTTGGAAGAGCATGCTGCCGGCAATCGAAAGACAGCGGATGCTTTCCGCAAACGATATCCCCTTTGCTTTTTCCCCCAAAAACAGTATCCATCTTGCTTGGTAAGCCACCTTTGCCGTGCCCTGTATCACACACATTCGATATGGTGGGACCTTTTCGGGAGCTTACAGTAGGTGTACGCTAGGGGATGAAGGTTATTGGAAACGGCCGAAACATTGAGTAGAGTATTAGGTATGCTGTTGCTGTTCACAGCCGTATTTACTTTGCAATAATAAGTGAACTTGGTGAGAGTGTGACATTGATTGATCCAACAATTTCATTCTCACCTCGTCCAAGCGTAGTACTGTCTCATTTAGATTTCTTCTTGATCAAAACCCTCCTTCTATCCACTTCCCAATGCGACTCCTCAGGTCGCCACGCTTGACACCACTCTCAACCTTGCTTCTAACCTTTTCCCAGCATGCAAATTGAAGCAATGATTGAATAGTTATCAATATGGCTGTGCTAACATAATCATTAATACCTTTTATGAAACAGTAATAGGATATGTAATGACACTATTACTGGTTAGAATTGCCATAGTAATTATGTGAATATAAGTTCTAGACTTTACATTTGATTTTTTGGAATGTAATATGAAATTGAGCCTGACTTCTATTCGCTTTTCTCCGTGCTTCTCGTTTTCTCTGCACTGTGCTGCAATGGCGATCCACCACCTTTTGATTTCGCTCTGGTATTTTGTGTCTTTGCTTCCTCTAGTGTCCCTTTAATACTTAAGTGATCTGAGCTCGATGAAGCTTTTGATGCAGGCAACGACAGTTTTTTTGAAGTTTTCTTTTTGCTGCGTTCACTCTTTCGACTCTTTGGTCTGCTCCTTTCCTTTGTACTCTGGCGCCGTTTTGTGCCTCTTCTAACTTTGCCATGTTTTGCGTTCCTTTTTTTACTGGCTCTTCTGCTTGACCGCCGCCTTGACTTTGATACGTGTTTGGACATAGGTGCTGCTTCATTGGTATTCGACTTTATAGTATATTTCTTGCTATCGGAAAATGCTAGCGCTCCACCCTCTTTTCCTTTTTGCCTGAGTGAAGCGCCTGCGTTTGATGCTTTTGCAGTTGCGTTTTCGTTCTCTTTCACATCCGACTGTTTTCTTGTATTTATTGCTTTGAGCATTGAAGTTGGAATTTCTTAAATGACAAGAATTACTTATCTGACTTTTATATCTAGTTTTTTGAGAAGAGGAATCATCAAAAACTGAGAGCGCTTTCTAGAAAAGTAGTAGAGCATCGCACGTGGATGTCAAGTAGCGACGTGCACTTGTATTTCGGAATTGAGTGATAGATTATGATATACGTGTCCCAAAAAAATGTATTCACTGTTTGATTGTAAACTAGATGGCTTACCCGATTCCGCCTGGCCCTGCCAATAATATATTTGTAATCAGCATGCTCGATTACCCCCCTGTGCCAACTCCCAGCCCCGTAGCTTAAATTTTGCAAAAAAAAATCGATAAAATCGATATTGATCGATGACGAAAAGTAGCCTATGACACCCGCTCAGACAATCGCCGGGGGCAGGCGGGAACCGGAAAGATAGATTGCTGATCTCTCGCACCCCGCTCGCGGATTTTTTGGAAAGCAATCAGGACTTTTCGGAAGACCGCTTGCTGAGCTCTCGATTCCTCAGAGGTTCAGCAATATATCTGCAAAAGATAAAGCGAAAAAAAATTCAACAGGCGGTCTCTCAAAAATCCGCTGACTCAGCAAGCGGTCTTCCGAAAAGTCCTGATTGCTTTCCAAAAAATCCACGAGCGGGATGCGAGAAACCAGCAATCTATTTTTCCGGTGCCCATCTGCCCCCAGTGATTATCTGAGCGCCGGCGCCCGAAGTGTATGTGTGCCAAGTTTGGTCCAGATCGGTTCAGAAATGGAACTTTCTATTCGGAACATACGTACAGACATACATACAGACATACAGACATACAGACTAACAGACATTCAGCTTTATATATAAGATAACTCTCTTGTGATAAAGTGTTTCAGGAAGCTTTAGGTACCATTTTGTAGAGCGAGATTCAACTTAGACTTAGAGTATAGAGCGAATCATCGACTGCTCTTCATTACTGTCGGATTACGGTAGGAACTTCAAGCATATGGTGTCATTGTTAAAAAATCTGCGGTATCAAGAATTTTCAAACAAATGTGAAAAATTGTGTAATTGGGCTTCCATGGACGTTGAGTTCAATACTTAATTATGTATAAGGTTGCGAAGCTTTTTAAACGGTATAGTTGCAGTTTTCGGGAGCATTCAAAAAAGAACGACCGGTACTGCTTACCTCGCATAACTTTTTATTAAAACATTATGATAAGCTGCAAACTTCAAATTTAGAATTAGCAACTCTAATTAGCCTAGTGTAAAACTTTTCAGGTTGTTTTGTTTGCTTTCAAAGGCAAAATATGCCTTTCATGGCTCAAAACCCTCTTCAAAGTTTCTACCGTAATTCTACAGTAATGAAGAGCAGTCGGCGATTCGCTCTATACTGTAAATCTAAGTTGAACCTCGCCCAAATGGTATTTAGAGCTCTCCCAAACACTTCATTACAAGAGAGTTATTTACAATCAAACAGTGAGTACATTTTTTGGAACACCCTGTATAGTGTGTAACCCTGCCAACTTTCCATGAGCACCTCGGCGACGCCCCCGTAGTGGCTCCGGCCGCTTGTTTCTTGCTTTTTTCTTTTGTGCGATTGTCTTGGATCATAATCTCTCTAGGGTTGTTTCATACTGCCGCACTGACTGCAGCAGACTGCAGAAGACTGCATCTGACCGCACTGACTGCAACGGTCGCACAGATCGCTGCTCGTTTCGTAAAAGAGAAAACAGTTGCCAAAGTCAAAACACCGTCATTTGCGCCTAGGAAGTTCGTAGGCTTCAACTTACTCTTCTCAATAAAATTTTGACGAATGTTTTTCTTTGGTATGCTCATATTTGTTCTGATTCTTCCTATTAATGGGTATACTGTTTTACTCTCGCTCGTGTTGTCTTTTATGTCTAGGCATATATTGTTGTTGATTATTTGGGCTAGATTTTTTCTTTCTTTCTTTCCCTTGCGGTCAGTGCGGTCAGTGCGGTCATGCAGTCTGCTGCAGTCAACTGCGATCTGCTGCAGTCTGCTGCGGTCAGTGCGGCAATCTGAAACAACCCCTATCTTACAAGGGAATGGTCAGAAATCGAAGTGGCTAGTCCGCACAAGCTGCATACCGTCAACACCCTCAGGGTACGCTAGTAAAAATCTATCCTCGATATCTGCAGAGCGGTCTTGTAGCGGAGTTATGGGCCCTGATTGCACCGGGATCCCACCGAGCACATCAAATACACGTAGCCCAGTTGTTACCTGAAGCGGCGGCATAGCGCAGTGGCAAGTGTGCGAGCTGATACGATGAGGGGCAGGGATTCGATCCTTTTGCTTTCATTTCTTTTGCAACCGATTTTTTAACATCTATGATGTTGTTGCGAAGTGACATCAAGGTCAGAACATCTACAAATCTGTGGAAATTTCCAAAAAAAATGCTTATTCGCGAAAATACAAATAATTTAAAAATGAGAGTAGATATAATTGTTGATATGACGATGATACGAAGATGACGAGCACTTTATCAGATGTGCTTATTTCTGTCGTCTCCTGTGTTTCCAGCATTTCATTGTAGCCTTTCATAATTGTACATGAAGTTCTAAATTTTGATTTTTGTATCTTCAGAATGAGATTTTAATAAATTATTTGATGTTTCCACAGGTTTTGTAGCTGTTCTGACCTTGATGTTACTTCGTAACAACATTATAGATGTTAAAAATCGGTTGCAAAAGAAATGAAAGCAAAAGGGATCGAACCCTGACCCTCATCGTATCAGCTCGCACACTTGCCACTGTGCTATGCCTCCGCTTCACGTAGTAACTGGGCTACGTGTATTTGATGTGCTCGGCGGAATCCTGGTGGAATCAGGGCCCATAACTTCGCGTACAAGACCGCCTGCAGATATCGAGGGTAGGTTTGTTATTAGCGTACCCTGAGGGTGTTGACGGTATGCAGCTTGTACGGATTGGCCACTTCGATTTCTGACCATTCCCTTGTTAGTTTCGAGCAATTTCCTGCAATAGTCGGCAAGTGGGTTTTAGGAGGTTTTATTTTATATTTCTTGATTCTCAAGTAGTTAAAGGCAGTGTTCCCGCAACTTCGGGCGCATGCGTTTTTGCAGGAAAACTGATGTAGGGATTTCACTAAGGCACTGCCCAAGTTGCAGCGCAAATGATTCATTCACGGCTGAGAAGTCTACCCCAAACCCTCCAACCTGCGTCGTGACCTAACTAACGAGTGACTAGGGGCGAGCCGCCAACACAGTGCTAACTGGAACTGAGTCAATGCGCTTAGGCCTCGGGCAGAATACGCGATTTGATCGTCGCGATTCAATCGCGCTACAAGTGTTACGAGTTTATTTCATGCCGATCTTCTCGCATTCCGGTTGTAATAGTTTTCCACACGGCTAATCGTGAAACTAACACAACCAAAATACAAGAAGGTCGGCATGCAATGAACACGTAACACCTATCTTGTCGCGATTTCGCGACGATGAAATCGCGTAAACTCTGCCCGAGGCCTTACTGTCACGGCGCAGAACTTGAGGGGTTGGAGATAGATTTTCCAGCCGTGAGTAAACGATTTGCGCTGTCGATGGATCACTGCCTTAGTTAAAACCAAGATCGAGCAAGAAGTGTGTCACACAACCGCAGGGTACAACCCCTCCCCCCCCCCTAAGTCCTGTCTCGATATTCCCCCCCCCCCTATTTTCGTTTGCCTGTTGTAGGAATGACATAAAGGCCTTATCTAGCATAATTAGTAACATATTTGTGAGTATCATGTCAGAGAACCCCTGTAGACCAAGTTTAAGCGAATTGTGGGGTTTTTTAGTATTGGGCCACCCTAATGTAGTAGCCATTTTCAAACATGATTAACTATATCTTAAAAGAGAATTAGCTACCGTTTCTTGTACTCAGTACAAAGCACTACTCCCTATTAGCCTACATCATGAATTCTGGTTCAAATAATAATCAAACTATGGAATTAGAAGCCAGCCAAAATCTCGTTTGTTCCATTTTTCGCTTGCAGTTGTAGTGCTTCCAGCGACTATTGCTCAAACGAAGGAAAACGTTCAGCTTTAATCACTTCTACAAAATTTACGGGATTTTTGCTATCAAACCGTACCCAATTTCTTTCCTAAAAATCTCTTTGAAGATAAGTTAATGGGGTATAGCACAACCTCTAGCTGTGGCGGCAACAGCTTTTAGAGGTTGTGCTAAAGGTGCTTTAGGGGTCGCGCCACACCCCATTGACTATCTTTGAACCATTCAAATCTTTGCGTTTTTTATATGGTTGCTATTGCTCAACTTTCTTCTTTACATAGTAGAAAAATCATTTGAAATCGTGTCTTCTGGGGAAAGGTGTAGTCGTTTACCCTCACCTATGCAAATGGGAAATAGTGCGAAAATACTGGGTTATGGCAACATACTTAGTCTGCGTTAATATGTAAATTGCAAAAGAAGGCGACAAGGATAAAATTATTTGATAGACTAAGCCTCATAATTCACATTAAAGTGATTTGAGCCTGACTGGTCTTTTCTAATCTTGAGATATTGAAAAGCGGAAAATGGAACGAGATTGAAAATGGAATGAGATTTTGCCCTGTAATTCTATAGTTTGGATGTCACTCGAAGTGGGATTACTAATGTAGGCAAAGTAGCAGTTCTTTGTATAGAGTGCAGAAAGAAGTAGTTAGCTCAACTAACGAAGGTAACATGTTTGGAAATAACTATACTATTCACTTGGATGGCCGTTATTTGGAAATCTCAGAAATCGCTGAAACTTGACCCGCAGGGGTCACTTGACATTCTAATTACGAAAGTAATGCTCTTGTGCTTATAGTGCTCTTTTATCACGCTTACTGTACGTATACGATGGTAGGTCAAAACACCAATGTGCTAGTACTTTACACAGTGCCTATCTGACATTGTTAACGAATATCATGTTAACGCTAACATCAGCTCACCTCGATAACGACCCCCCCCCCCCTCCCCGACCCCTCAATAGGACCCGCCAGGTGTGGTATGCCACACCCCACGCTTGACCCCGGTTAGGA